CCCCCCCCCCACCGTCAGCCAATATTAAATGTTCCCACTCAGCATTGCTTATTACAGTTTCAGTAACCTACATGTCATACTGAAATCTTTCAGCATAGCAAATTATTGAATTAGTAGGTTACATACGATTATGACATTATTCACTGATGAAGGACAGCCAGCTGACAAGAACTGAATGTGAGTTTACAATAGGTGTTAACAGAGAATACTATAAAACCCTAAAATTCATGGTAGGATAAAGGTATCCATGTGCTTAACTAATTAGGCACTACACCATAAAGGCATATGGGGAAGTGGATGTATATATCCACATTTTCTTGACTTCAGCACTAGTTGGAGGTGAGTGGTCACCTTCACACTCCGGCTGCTTTAACCCTAGGGAAAATGCCCCCTGTATCCATTGGACAGGAGGTTGGGTAAACCCAAGAGTCAGTCTGGATGACTTACAGAGGAGAAAATTCTTGCCCCTACCAGGACTCAAACTCCAACCCCTCAGTTGTCCAGCCCATAACCAGTCATTATACCAAATATCCTATTCTGGCCCTCAAAATTCATGGTCCTTATAATATTTAATCAACTAGTTCTGTCATTTTAACAGCCCTTTGTGCAGAGTATCTCTAGCTTCATAAGAGTGTGGAAACCTGCATAAAACATGCAAAGTAACACCTAGCTACATCACAAACTAACAGAAGATGGGGCCCAAAATATCACTGTACCTCCTGTGTAAGATCAGCAGCCTGAAGAAAACCCTCATCTGGGAAGATAACTGTATCCTCTGCGAAAGATGTTCCTGCGGTGCTGCTGGAAGGTGGACTAGAATTTGCTTCGGACAGTTCTGATATGGAGGCATGAACCTGTCTATCATTATTTGTCTCTACAGGTAAACCTGCACCACTAGTTTCAAATGAAGAACTTGGTATGGCACCATCAATATTTAATAAATATGCTGTCACATCAGAATTATGGGTTTGTATCCTGTTGTAGCGACCAAGGGCATTCAGGTCCTCAAAAACTTCCCTTTCATAATTAAGCAGAATTGAGTCTAAGTTCTTATGATGCACAAACATACGATGTGGTATAATGGCTGGCGCATGTGCCCAACTTGTTCCACTGGTTAAATCATGGATGCCAACACCTACTGCTGGTATATCATAGCCAAAATAAGATTCTGGATCCACACGCAGAAGGCTTAATAATATGGCCAACTGCAGCAGTTCATCTCCATATATCTTCTTCAGACACACCATTGCGACTGCTTCTTAACAATGCTTTTGGCCAATATTTTTAAATGCCCACAAGGGGCCAGAAAACAATGCAACTAGAACGAAGTCATACATCAAAAAAGTAGAAAAAAGTTTGTCTCGAAACCTGAAAACAAACTGAATTATGTTCACTCATTAACTGACAACTCCTTTTCGTGAAAATGATGTTCTCTCAATTACGAGTGTTTACTTTCCAAACTGTTACTGAAAATAAATATTATCCCATTGGATTTATCCTTAAAATAAATAAAGACGTCCTAAAAAGTCAATTTAATCTCTACTAACTTCCACCATTAGAACGCACAATTCTAGAACTATTAACACATCAATCCTTCATTAAGAATTTTAAACCTAAACAGTCTTCAGTTGGATTACGAATGTTCGATTAGCACAAACTTTCCAAAAAGGTTATAACTCACTTTCAAGCACTGAAAACACTCCCTGTCATATGAGATGGGATACTTCATTTTTTACAAAAATACGATATAAAAATTATGGCATGGGCATCAATTACCCAATGACATTAAACATGTTAGTAACTGATACTACAAAACTATGCGTAAATGTAGCCGTGGCTGTCAGACCGGCAAATTATTTTGCCAGAACAAACACAGAAGCTACGATCTGCTTATTAAACCACAAACACAATAAAACCTCATTACACTTCCGACTTATTAAACTCGAAAGAAAGAGCGAAAGAACAAAGGTTATTTCACATAATCAGCGAACTCTGCTGCTCGATCATTCACTCAGACATCAACTTTACATATGACTCAGCAGTTGGGCAACACCGCACACCACTTCCACCACACAAATAAATTCGTGTCGAAAAGCATCATGGGAGGATGACGAAATCTTATCTTACTATTGTGTACGTGTTTTCTTATTTAATCCTAATCCAAATGTATGGAGTTTTTATCTCCTAATTTTTAATTCTAAACTCTAATATCATTCTATTTCATGCCAAGGTTATTAACATAATTTCAATCGGGCCATATTTTCGTGGATAATCATATGGTAGTGACAGCGTTGCCGTACTATAGAAAGTAGTTCCTTAAAAAGTGATACTTTACTTACGTGCTGAAGTTTATTCTTAGGTGGTGATAATTGCAGCCCAGGTGACAGACTCTTCATTTGGGGCATATCCTCAACACCCATCATATTGGCTGGTATTTTCTGTAAATAATTGGAGCATTTTTAATTCTAGGAAATGTGGCGATACAAACCTCACGAAAATGTCTTGAATTATTTTCCTCCACAAAACACGTTTTTGTATATGATTTTCTCAGATGTCGTACTAAATATGTTTCTCAGACACTTATAAGAAACTTCAAACAATGTCAGCACTGTATTCCTTTTCATTCTCCCCAAACTTGTGAAAAAACATACATTGCCTCCTCCTTCCAACCTTCTCTCTTGCTTCCAGTCAAGGTTATACTTACGTCATTCAAATCATGAAGTGAATAGATACCACACGAACAACGTATCAAATGTAGTCATCCGCCGAAAGATAACTAGTTGAAGCATTGTTGAACACGTGCTCTTTTCAGATTGAAATTCAATTGTAGATTTTAAAATTTTAATTTCTAACACGCAACAGCTTCTCATGTACATAGGCCTATGCCTTACTTAAAGTGCGTATTCATAGAAGTTTAGTATTACAAAATTACTTACTTATTTATAGCTACCTGTTGCTTAGCATAAATATTAATGACGTTTTTAAACAATGAACTAATCACGTATTATACGGACTGCATAACTATTAAGTAAAAAATGCGGGAACTCCACCTGGGGGTCGATTTTATTGACGTTAGTCGAAACGCTGTTTTGTAGTGTAGGGCAGAGGCACGCGAAGGACACGAAGCGAAGACTTCAGCAGAAGGCAGAGCAAGCAACGGGGTGAAAATTACAACTTAAGCGCTTAACTTCAAGTTATTATTTTGATCCAGTCCACTTTAAATCACACCACTAGGACTTAACAATAGACCTTATACATTATAGTTACCGAGGAAATGTATGCAAGAAATATAATTAAGGTACTCTTCCATAGCAGGAGGATTGATCTGATTTGATTACTGATAATTTAAATTTAAATCATGCATTATGTGCCGGTAGGTATAGTGATGCAATATAAGTGACCTGTTATGTAGAAGCCCAGACTTTAGCACATGAATAATTTTATTCCGGTTGCAGTGACATAATTGATGATATTCACAGAAAAAATCCTGACACAAATAATGGTCCGTCCATTATTGTCGTTTGTACAACACACCTAGGGTACAAAAAATGTTAATCAGTTACTTATTAGTACAAAACATAAGTGTATCTGCTAGCCAAGACTGAATTATTAGAAATAATGATGACAAGAAGTTAAACTTTGTTAATATTTGTACATCTGTTGAAAACTCTAGAAGATAAGTTAGGGACATAACTGGCATTGTTGCCAGAATTAATGGTCCCTCACCTTTGAACACCGATAATCGTATATCAGATTGCACGGCATCACATCCCTAAGACATCAAATTTCTGTAATATGTGACTTTGTAAAATATTTTTTTAAGTAAATCATGCGCTTGTTGGCAAGAGTTCTCTGGTAATAAGAGAATTAACATGGAAGGGTTTATTCAGAAAAAGAAACAGCAGCAGCGCATATTACAAAATACAGGGGATTGAATTTATCTTTAGACCGCACAGCTAGAAATTTATTTGCCCATGCCTGTCCAGTGCTAGCCACCAAGTTGTTGCTTTGTCACCTGATGCTTCCTGGCTTATCTAGGTAGCACTGCCTGTTGTGAATTTGGTTGTCCTTGAAATACATAGAAATATTTTTCACAGAGTTGTGAAATATAGTTTTCAGAGAGGAAATATAGTGTTCAACAGAAATTATTTTTATATGATACCCTTGTACAGCATTCTGCAAGGAGTAAATGCCACAGGAAGCTTTGTAGTAAGTGTCCTAACAGTACACTGATCTATAAAGCAACAATTCAAAATAAAGTTATAACAAAATTATGTTCTACAGGATTAGTGCTGGACAAAAAGAATCTTGAGAAAGACATATACTTCTTAAGAAAAATGGATAACATCAGTACAGGACTGGAAGCAAGCCCAGAAAAGTCATTATGTCTTTTGGATCTTCAGTGGGGGTTGGCACATTACAGCTGACATTGATGGTATAGAGTTACAGCCTTACAAAGATACAGTTTTATATAGTTCTTTGCCTCCAGATTGCCAAGCAAGAATTCAATGCTGTAGGTGGTGTCAGGAATCAGTATTCAATGGACTTCTTGGGCCAGATCCTATGCTTTATTCTGACAAGGCAGGGTTCACGTTAAGTGATTACATAAACTGCCAAAATAACAGATACTGCAGTACAGAAAATCCTTATGGTCTTCACGAAGAGCAATTGCATGATTGGAAAGTTGAGGCCTGGTGTGCAGTTAGTGTGCAGAGGATAATTAGGTCAATGTCTTAAAAAAAACAGTAAATTCTGAAAGTTTTGTGTGATTGATCCTGCCTCCCTTTGATCAACTGAGTGATGAAGGAAAATCTTACATGCATTTTATGCAAGATAATATAGTGACGTACACTGTGAAAAATTCTGTGAATGCTTGAGATGAAGTCTTTGATGAAAGAGTCATAAATTGAGGACTATGGCATCCGTGATCACCCATCTTAAAGGCTTGTGACTTTTATTTTTCGGACATGCTGAAATAAAAAAATGTGTACAACCCACGTTCAGGAGTGCACGCGGTAGTGTAGTTGGTTGAGGCACTAGCTACAAGCTGGAAGGTCGCGGGTTTGAGTCCCAATGAGGTGGATTTTTTTCACTTGACTTAATCCTTCCAGCCGCACTACAGCCCTGGAGCCGACTCAGCCTCTAACAGAAATGAGTACCAGGAATCTTCCCGGGGGGGAGGGGGGTTAAGGCCGGCTGGCATGTAAGGCTGACAACCTTACCGCCATCTGTGAGCCAACTGTGTAGATAATATGGGACCCTCAGTGTCTCAAAACCTTATGGGCCTCCATGGCCTTGTACAGGGATAGCTTTACCTTTTTTTTACAATCCACATACTTTGGAAAACAGTCAAGAAAATATTAGACATGAAATATTTATTCCCATACAGCAGTTTTGATGGGTGTCTATAACTATATTATCATGATGTAGGGCATACTTAGACGTATACAGCCATAACTTTAAGACCCTTCTGTGAAATAAGGTAAATTATTTTAGAGTGGAAAAGCAGTCCTTGAATTTTTGGCTGCTACAGCAGGTCATTGCAAGTAGAGTGCTGTGTCAGCTGCAGAAACCAGTCTTACGATAAACTGTATACATCCTTTACCATGTCATCATGAAGATTACTGTCTTCTGGTATGTGATGTAGTATAGTTTGGTAGATACACACCAATGATTAGGAAGAATATGCTGCCTACACCTTTGGGTAGATAAGTATGGGATTTGTGGTTCTAACAATGGTGACTACGAAGATAACTGTCTTCTGGGAAGTATTAAAAGAAGTAGCATGTTTCTCAGAGACACTGGTACCAATATACAAACTACTGGGCATCATACCCCTTCAGTCACTGCTCTGAGAACTTCAAATCTTACACAGTATGTTGTAATACTGATTTATGATGAGTACATCAGTCTCACAATATGTTTATGGGAATTATGTACATAGAACATAACAAAGATAACATTATTTTAATTATAACTTACTATTAATGTGAAATTACTACAGCATAGATATACAAAATGTAAAGTATTTAGATTATATGATGAACAAACAAGACATTAAGGAGTGAGAATATGGAGATTTCTCAGTTAAGGCAAAATGTGATGAGAGGCTAGAAACATATCTCAGCTTCCAGATCTTATGGTCTTAAGCTGGTGGGATGGTAATTCTACTTCCTTCCTTTGCTTTCCTGCCATGGTCCTGTCTGTAACAGGGTGTATCTACATTCAGAAGTACAGCATGTCTTCCAGTTACATCAGGTTGCATGGCTGTCCAATTGTGACTTTAAATTATGTTGATCATACATGAATAGGCCTATAAGGTATGATACTTGCTTAAAGTCTTTGGATTGGCACAGCCTTCTATGCCTGAGTCAGGCAGAAGTGTCTCCACATAAAGAAGTACCATATACATATATAGATGCACAGACAGGCAAATGTATGCTTCTGTATTTAGCAGAAATAGTCAAAGCAGTATGTGTCATATTGCATTACCAGTGACCATTAACAATATTTTCACAGGGCAGTACTGTACAAATGAAATCTAAAAGTCATTTGGAACTAATGCAAGCTTTTCTCCCACCTACAGTTTCGTCATTGCTATTCTCATTAACCTTTCAACCTTATTACAGTAAACAATCAAATTATTTATTCATGCAGGTTTCTAGCTCATACTAATAGAGGATGGGAAGCCTGCTTACAAGCACTAAGGAAGTTACATTCACCATAAAGCAGCGAGTCTATATACAGAAAGCCCTGCAATGTTATTTCTTCCATGAAGTTTGACCAACATGCAGTTTAGTAAATGAGTTAATATTTTTTTCTGCATTTCTGAATAGAATCTACAAACTCAAATAGTCGAATAATAAACATTTTTTCTTAATTTTCTAGTTATGTATTAAGGAAGTTACTTTGACAAAGAAAAATGAATTGACTCTGACATCTGCAGATGACCCAACCTGCTAGGCAGTATGTCTAGGTTTCTTGGATTGAATGCTAAATTTGTGCATAATTTGCTTTCCTGGTAAAGAAGTTTCCTATATGA